AAATAAATAAATAAATTTAAAACAAGCCAGACTTCCTTTTGTTGCTTTAAATGTATTTTCTGATTATTTCATTTTGTAATGTGAGAAGGAATAGCTTCTGTATGAGGGAAAATCTTACAGATTAAGATGAAAGATGGAGGGAAAGTGAACTATTACACATCTGTGTTTCACATGTCTTCTTCACAGCTCTTCCATTTCCGTTAAATGATTTAGAGATGGAAAGGCCAGGACTGCAGGCTGTATTTAAATGTAGGTATTGCTGGGATTTGTGCAGTTTCATGACAATAGTTTCTGCTCCATTGTCAGTCTTTTCCTAATATTCCTTACATTCTACTTGACTTCTTGCTATGGTAGAATATAGAACCTGTAGTTCAAGGAAACTATCCACAACTCCAGTTCTATTTTCTGAGTAGAAATAGTTACTTTCAAGACTACAATTCTGGGTATTTTATCAATGTTCCCTAGGTGCATTAGTTAATGTTTATTGACATGCGTCTTTGTATAGTCAGAGGTTTTTTCCACAATGCTGTTCAGCCATTTTAGGTTTGGCTATTCTGAATAAATACTTTTCTTTAAATCTTCTCAAGCTTATTTATGATTAATTCTACTCTGTACACTCCATAGTGTTGAAACTCTCTAGTGCAGTAAAGAGCTAACAGTCTGGTTTCACCTGATCACATGGTTAAAAAAAGAATTGTCTGATAGTTTCCTTATAATTGACTGATGAGATGAGAAAGTCAAGAGAACTTCCAGTTTCTTTTAGAATTTGTTAACAAAGGCCTTACTTTAGAGACGACTTAGGGCCAGCATTGACCGATTTTCTCAATTTAACAGATACCATCCATTTGGTGTCCATCTGTATCCCTAAGGCCTTAAAGGTCAGTGTTGGCATCATTTGGTGTTCAGCAGCACTTCTGTAATGGGTTACGGCAGCAGTTTAAGAAATTATAAGTAAGCCAATCAGAGTAAAAACATCAGAAAATATATCCTGAATGAAACTTTTAGAAAGGAAGGAGGGGAAAAAAAGGTATTTGTGCAATCTGAAGTTTGTCCAGTAGACCTGGTAAGGGAATAGTACTTTTCCCAAAAAAAGCTAGCCAGCCCATTCACTTGGCAGTGGTAGATAAAAAGGAGTTGATTTGGTTTATTTTATTTTATTTTATTTTTTCTGTATAGAAAAAAGGGAACACATAGCTCTTGTGTTGTAAGCAGTTATGGCAGAGAAGATTCCTCATGTGCTTTTTTTCTGTTTCTCTCTAGACATGTATTTACAGTTTGGATGAGGAATCCATAGATCTGTGTCAATTTAACCATGGATGGAGAAAAAAAAAAAAAAATCAATAGACGGGTCTTGTGTCATACAATGTTGTATATGCTCCCTACCTTCCAGGAGGTATCTGAGCCTCATGGTAGATTCCACTTACGGAGTCCATTTGATTTACAGTCAGGTAGATATCTGGATGGTCTTCAGATAAATTACAATACTAGTGAATACAAAACATGGGAATTCCATGTCCTGCCTGTTCTCCTACCACAACTTCTCTGTCTTCACTTAAAATTAATGTTATATTTTATTATATGTGTTTTAGCTATGTGGTAAAGAAGGTAGGAAGGAATGGATGGCCTTAAATTTGCAATATTATTGCTTGAATTTTTTGCAATTATAAACTTTCAAGCGTGGGTGCTTATAATTCAACACTTGTATACGTCAGTGGGAAAACTGTATACCAAACGTGCAAGTCATCTCCTAGATACTCAGAATCAATTAGAGGACCTAAACAAGGGCACCTTGTTTGAAAATCTTAACAGAATTTTTGCTGTGACTCTCTTGAAATCGAATGGCGTCCCTTTGCATTGTTGCATTCCTGGTTTGACTATAAATCATGATCTTAGTCTTTATGGTAACATTGAATTGTAGGTGATGAACATAGAGAGCTCCACAATCAAGAAAAGCGTCAAAGTATTAAAGTATCTTTGAACTACATGTAGAATAAGAATTACTTTATTATGTTAAGTACCTATTTGGTCCCTTTAGCTAAAAATTTGATGTTGGAGGGGGATTAAGAGGAGGAAGAGAAGGAAGGAAAGACATTGTTTTCTTCCCAATATCAAGTTTAACTTGACCAAAGCACATCATGTATGAGCACATTATATGAGCCATTATTTAAGTCAGGTTTTGCCTTGAATGTCATTCTGTGCTGCATGAAGTTTGGTACTTTGATCACATGTAAAATCAAAGCAGTGTGTTTAAATGCAACTCAAGAACCTGTAAGTACACCTTTCCTGCTCAAAAAAATATTTTCATTCCTGCAAACTGTGCCCATTAGTGGCCACAAAAGCAGAAGACAGAACCCTTTTGCTCTCTGCATGGGCAGAGGGCAGGCCCTTGATAAATGATTAGAGAAGCCTATGTTGGCTCTAGAGAAGAACAAGAGGAAGACCTATGAAAAAAGAGACTCTCGGGAGAAACTGCTGTAAAATTAAATGTAGTTTTCCGTTGCTTATTTTATCTCTTGGGGTTGGGTCTTTGGTGGGTTTTTTATTGTTTGTTTGGTTTTGTTCACATGCAACTGGATTCCTGTTTTAAGATACACTTTTTTTTTTTTTCCTTTTTAAAAAATACTAATTTTAAGGGACTATCAAAAATATACCAGGGTAAATCATGGCTCCTTTTATAAATATAGTTTAGCTTTCAAATTGTGTATGTGTCACAGGAGCAAGTTGTGTCAGTGGAAGGAGAGAATACTTTCATCAAAAGATGGCACGGTTGTCCTTGTACAACTGTTGTTTAGTTCATTGATCTTGCCTTCTTAAGTTCAAAATTTACACATCTGAGAGTACTTCTGTACCTCACAATGCAGAAACCTTCAAAGATTAAGTTGATGTTTGCTTCATAGGTTTAAACCTCTAAGCATGAGCAGCATTTCATGGGAGTGTGGAGGAGAACAGAGGCTTATTCTTTACAACAATGATGAAACCGTCTCCTCAGTTCAGCTTTGAAACCCTTGGACTTTGGGAAGGTTCAGAACCAAACCTGCCTGCTTGGGTTCTTCAACCAAATAAAAATTAATGTTATGTTTCAGAAGAGTGCTGGAAGCTGGTACGAGAAGAGCTTGCTCTGTTAATGGTCATTATTTGAGTCCTCCTGACTCTGCTCACTTATTAAAGGAAAAGAAATTTAATTAAGATTTGGTCTCAGCCTATCAGTAATCTATATCGAGGTTCTAGCAAACTTTACTAATATGCAGAATTCACAGTAATGGTACATTTTTTCCTGTAGTTTTCTCTGCTTGGCTTTCATCCCAGCTGCTAGGTAAAATCAAGGCCCAGAAAATTGGATTATTACATCCCAAGAGGCTGGACTGATAAGCATCACATGCTTGTTGATCTGCTTCCTACTCAGTGTTGGTGGTGGTTGAGGTGCTGCTAGATGCAAAGCCAATTTGTTAACAATTAGTGCTCATTAAAATCATTTCCTGTTATTGATTTTAAATGTTTCACAAAGCACTTTTAGGAAACTGCACCCAAAAACCCCCAGTAGCTGTACATCACTACTTAGTAATTACAACTCTTTAGGGCCCAGTGTCAATCTTAACTAACTGGTTTCATTGGTTTCCAAGTAATTATTTCTGCTTTGGATCCCACCTGCTATTCCCTCCAGATTAAAGATGCTTTGAAATAAGGACATAGTTCTTGATTAGCAGAGTTGCTGAGAAAGGACTGAAGAAACAAAAGCAACTTCTTTTTTTGTTTGTTTTGTTTTGTTTTTTTCTTGTGCCTTGGTTTGTCATGGGTAGGGCTTTTTATTTTGCATAACTACCAATGGATTACGTGATATACAATATACGAATTAATGTCAGCCTGGAATTAAGCATGATTTACATTTAACATGTGGGTTTAATTTTAAATGCGTCATTGTCTTTATATACACATGGAGAACTGTGGAGCCAGTAAGTCTAATTTACAAATGGAAAAAATAGATACACTGGTGTGTTGTAATAAAGGTTTTGATATAGGAGTCCAGAAGGGTATATGTGTCAAGTTTTGTGGAAATTTGATCTATAATTACTATTAATCTGTTTTACATGCCGGAAGAGGCTTGAATAAGAGATTCTTTAATAAATAGTACAATGTGTATCTATGTAAAAATCAGCAAATCAGCCACATCTGCATTTCCACATATACTGGATACCTATCACAAGTTGTTACAGACTTATGGCTTTTATGAGTACACTGCAATTTTGGCTAAATTTGGCAGTGTCAAAGGTGAAGCTAGCAGTACAGCCATCTGGGTTAATTTTCTCTCCTTCCTCCTGTGCTTTAAATGTTTAGCAACATCAGCTGAGGTTTCAGCAGCAGTCTCTTAAAAGGCTTACAAATAATTTAAATTCATTCTGGGATCCCTGTTGCACAAGGTGGAGACCTAACATAAGACTTGACGTGTGCCTTTCCCACCCCCATTCATTAATTAGTCTCACAATTACTGTAAAAATTAAGGGTAGTGTGGGATACGTGAGGCTTAGTCCCTCTAACCTTAATAAACAGAGATGATATTGACACAAGTGAATTTTGTTTAACCACAGTACATTTGCTTCTTAATTAGTGAATATTCATCTGTCAGCAGCAGCAGCAGCTATGACACCCCTCCCCGCTAACACGTTCTGTCATAAATAATCAATGAGAGGCTATTAATATTCATGAGTGAGAATCTGTGTAGTCATGTGCACTGATGCAGAGACAGGGGGAGTGTTGCCATGAACTGAGTCGAAACTCTGTGTGTGTATACGTGAGTGTAAGATAGTTAGGGAAAGGGAAGAAGAGCATGCTGCTACACACTGCCCTGCCTTGTGCTTCCAGCTAACAGTGGTGTGTTCCTGTGTTTCGGGGATGGAGTGACTGATGAAAAACAGTAGTCAAGTCTGGAGGGTGATTCCCTGTCAGTGCATTTGCCTTGCAGTGCTGGGGAAATTAGAGGCTTTGCTCTTGTGTTGCTTATTAGGATGGGCTGCAATCTGTGCACTTTTCAGAAGAGAGAAGAGCACTACAAACTGCTCTATGAAGTTTCACAGGTGAGTGCAGAGGGTATTACCAGCATCTCCTGAGTAAAAATGCGTGTTCTTTACAGACAGTATAGAGATGCTTTTGTTTTGCTTTCCTTTTTTTTTTTTTCCTTTGCAAAATTGCTAGCTAAGTTGTTCGGGGGGGTTGTGGTAATTATTAGTATTTTGGGTGCCTGTTGTTTTCTGCTCGTTTGCCACTCCCCCTTCAGATGACTTCCTGTGGGATTCTTTTAACATTTTTGTGCATCTTCTGCCAAGATGTCAGTCATACAGCAGCAGCCTCACTGAACCGTGTCGGTGATGTTTTAAGGGAGCCTGTGGCGTTGGTAGTAAGAGTGATTTCAGATAAGTTGCACTGCTGCCTCTAAAAGTGTTAGATCTGTGATACCAGGTCTTTCTAAGTTAAAGAACAAAGTTTTTATGGCATGTCTGTGCTGGCCAAGAAGTATCTTAAATTTTCAGATTCATTAATTAAAATTGAAGTGATTCTGAAATCTGCTTGTTACCTTTAGACAGGTACTGAGCCAGAGGGTTTTCAAGGGTGTGCTACTCGTTCATTCATTATGTGTGTTTTTTCTCTTTACTACTAGACAAAGATCTTAATCCCATCTAGACATTTCAGTGTTTCTTTCATGGTAGCAGTATGAGAACAGTGTGTCGGTGTGCTGCTAACGTGCTCCCAGCTCCTTCAGAATGAGATGAGAAAAGACAAAACAAGCACTTACCATAATAGCCCATAATTTTTGCTTAGATCCTATTGAATCAGTATTTGATTTGCAGCTTTTTGTTTATTTATTTATTTTTCCTCTTGACACGGCAGACCCTCTCGTACTGAAGTTTAGTGCCTTTCAGCGTCTCTTCTCTCCCTCTCTATCATTTGTCCTGGCTTTGACACATTGCTGCTGACGGGGGCTGAACGCTTGCAGTTTTGGGCTGCGCTGCTGCTGACAGGAAGCGCGGAGGAGAAAAAGCAGCTCAGGGTGTTGGTGGTCTGTTGGTGCAGCAGCAGCTAAGTGCCCATTGCCGACTGGGTCCCTCTGAGTTCCTCCTGATGTGGTTCATTTCACAGCGGGCTAATTACAAAGTGGATTCTCTACACATGAAGCAACCTCCTCAGTTGTGGTGTTAATGCACATTTTCATGGTAATGTGATCAGAGCCTCATTAGCCAGTTTCCAAAATGATCCTCTGCATTAATTAAATATAAAAATGACTCTTTTTATCACCATAGAGAGGAAGAAGAAGATTAACATTGTTAATTACTACTGGGGGCAATACCTCTGCATCATTTTTTACCACAGGACCAGCAGGCATTTTCAATCTTAAGCAAGTGTCTGTTTGCAGGTAACCTGCCCGTTGCCTTGCCTGCTGAAGACGGTCTTTAGGTGGAACACTTCCCTTTAGTTCAGTAGTTACTCGTAATCCCATCATCGTGTTTTCTGACAGCAATAGCACAGGGAAAAGCATAGCAGCACATTTCCCTCTCCTCCCTTTCTTCCTCTTCAGCTGTGGATTGCCAAACTGATCTGAAAGTGTAAGATGGAGAGAGTGAAGTAGGTCGGTGTCTGCTTTTCTGTGCCAGGGAATAAGAAATGCAGGTTGTGCTGCAAAGGGGATTAGACATTTCTTAAAGGTCTGCATGTGTGTAGGG